GTTTGGACGAGCAGTATTGAGTTTACGTCGGTACGGAAAATCGTTGCAAACGGTCGGACATAACGAAAACTATTTACCGCGATCGCGATTTCAATTGGTTTTCCGCGATATCGAACAAAAGGAAATCGTCGCCGCGAGTAATACGCGCGAGCGGTGTCGGATAGGACGAAACGAGACTGCGGTGTTTTTTTTTTTAATCATTTTTTCCAACCGTTTCCTATTTCGATTCCTAAAACGATTTGTTAAAATACCATTGTAATTTCGTACAGTCGTTTTGTTGACCTTTAACGATCGCGAAATCACGATTTACGAATACCGTTTTGAAATTTTATTACCACCGTAATAATACTCGTGTGTTTCCGTTTGTTTGGTAAAACGTGTTAACGTTTATCTTTTCGCATTGATATTTTTTTATATTATTAATTCAAAAATTTCAAAAAATAAATAAAACGCGCAGAGTAGCACTTCATTTTAACACATATGACCAATATAATACTGTATATGCTATACTATATATATATATATATATATATATATATATTATATAGTATATATTATTAACGGGCAAATCGCCCTTTTTTAAACGTTATCACGATAACGATTAACATTAGAAAAAAATAAATATGAATCAATAAATAATATGACAATTGGTAAATAATGTCGACGATCAAAAAGGTGTACACAGAATAAGAAAACAAAATGAAATAAATACAAACATTAATAATGGAAAATAGGGGTTATCGAAATATAGTTTTTAAAAACAATCACTAGCCAGCCGAATTGGCTAGTGTGTCGAAACTCCGGGGAAAAGCAGATCCGTCTGCTAAATCGGTTTTAAATTTAGGAACGTAAAAAAAAGATTGTGTTCAGGTAAAATAAACCGGAGTAACAAATCCAACCCCGAATAGCGGAACGGCCAAGTGTTTGGTCGATAAGGAGAAATGCGTTCCTTTCGTTCTCGTCGTTTGTACCGATCGCCCCCCCCCGTTACCCCTTACTTTTCCAACACTCCGCATATCGAACGTACGGAATATGTGTTAACGAGTTGTATTCATTTGACTTGTAAGTAATGTTTTATGCTAACACATTTATAACTTTAATAATTTATAAAACCAATAAACAACATTACTGTCTCGTGCAAGAAAACTATTTCCAAGTGGCCTACGTCTCTTCAGTCATCCACAGAATGATCTAGGGTAGATACGAGCTCAAATTAAGTTGTTTGCACAATAGATTACACTAGTAATATCCTACACTCCGATTTCCCGCGCAATTCCCTTTCGGGAATTTGTCGAAAAGTGGAGAGACACTTTGTTGAAGGCTTAAAATTAGTTGAAACTTTGACTACGATATTATTATGTTAGTACTCTGACCAGCCAGGTTGTGGCGCTTCAATAAGTAATAGAACACAATGTAATCTAATCATGTATTTTTTTGAAGTGTATATATAAAAAATAAATAAATACCAATATTTTATANTAAGTGTGTATATAAAAAATAAATAAATACCAATATTTTATATGTGTTCGAATATTTGTATTACCAAAAGTATTCGCCCGAAAATAAGATGTATAACCTTTCCTCTAAATCCCAGCGATTAGAAATGGAATATAAAAAACGTGTAGATTTGATATAGAATTGTAAGCGAAGTATATGTAACTCAGAATCCATATGCGTGTGGCACGTATCCAATATATATTGATGAACACCACACAAAATGTTAAGATTCTATAGGCAAATTCCACTTTCAAATAAAAGTATATATATATGTATCTATATTTCTATATTTCTATATTCTTAATGATTATGAGTACCGTGCCGCACAAAACCGTAATTAAAAATAACAGCTATATAAATTATTGTTCCGCACAAAACCGTAATTAAAAGTAACAGCTAAAATGATTCAACAATCAATGAATCAAATAAAATTCGTGCACAGTGAAACACCGGTTACCGTGTACGTAGGAGAGAGAACAGAACGCATTATCAGTAATCCATATTCGGCGGCGGCCTTATCTCAGTGTCATAGGCGGGGAGACAACCAATTGTCATATTAATAGCTGGACGGCTGATATCGCGAGAGACACGAATGAGCGCCAGCCTAGAGCGACGGGCGGTGCCGTGTCACGTGTACTGACTGAGAATTCTAAAGAGACGAGAGGAGTCGTGTAGTTGTAACTCTTGTCGCGGTAGAAGGCGTCGTCGTCACCAAGAGAGCACCCGAATTTGGGGGGAAATGGCCTATTTATAGCTCGCAAAACTAGTTTAGCGATCTCTGGTGAGATTCTTGAAATATTTTTTGTTGTATTTGATTAGTTTAAGTAATAGAATCTTTTACGTGGACGTATTATGAAATGCGTAAGAGGCTGGTTGAATCTTGTGTAAGGGTATTATTTTATTATTCATCTTATCCACGGGGGAACACTGATATGGTGATAAATTTTATTAAGTATATGTATTATTTACTACGTGTATTAAAATATTATACTACATTTAAAATCGGTAAATTTCAACATTTTTTTTTTGTCTTGACTTATTGAAAAATGAACAAATAAAAATAATTTTTTTCATATTAAAACCTCAGGTAATTTTTTTTTATTTAATATAATATTTTTGAAAATTTGAACCTTTACCCGCAGGGGGAAATTCAAAATAGCATCCCTGCACAAAAATTTTACTATTTCGTCTTAAGTTTTGAAAATATTCCGAAAATACTCCGAGCTTCAAACATGCCCTAACGTTTTATCTTGTACGTGCAAACGGCTTCCGTAGTTTAAAAAAATGCTATTTTGGTGTTAAAATTTTCGATTTTAAATTGCTAACGATTTTTCGAAAAATGTTCAGATTAAAATTCATGTTTTATTTTCACAAAACACACGGTGAATACCTCGGTGAGTACTGACCGGTTATCAATACGAGGAGAAAATCGATTCTACGTATAGATTTATTCGTTTTGTGACGGGGAAACATTGAAGAGTCGAGTGTGGATATTAGTCTGAGGGATCAAGGATTAGTGGAAGTATGACGGTACGTATAGAATATGAGTTTGACAAGAAAAAACAAAATGTCGATGAAACGAGGAGAGCAATGACAATGTACGACGGCGTGTTTAGGTGTGGTTGTGAGTTTTAAAAATTCAGGATTATCTATACAAAATAACGGTCGTAATGACGAGCAACAAGATATTCACATATCCTCGTCAATACAACCGTATTAGGATTAAGTGCGGGTGGATTAAAAACAAACTATTCGACGCCACCACTCTTTAATAGAAAAATTGTGCAAATCCCCCAAAAAATTACGTTTTAAAAATCTGTAAATTTTGAATTTTTTTCAAATAAAACTGCCATAACTTTTTTAAAAATTAACAAATTAAAATTTGATATTATATTGAAACCGTATATAATTCCCTTTCATTTAATATAAATTTTTTCAACTGACTTTTGATTCACCAACATGGGGGATTCAAAAAAACAATTTTTGCTTACAAGTTAAACTTTTTCAACTTAATTTTTAAAAATGTTCCGGAATTATTTACACTTTTATTGGATCTCAAATTAAAGCTTATANATATCTAAACTTTTATTGAATCTCAAATTAAAGCTTATATGATATATTTTACTATGAAAAAAAAAAAATTCTAGATATAGATAGTCTTCATGGTGAAAACGTCTATCATCATATACTGAAATACACTATTTTCGTGTTAAAGTTCTTGGTATTGTATTTTAATTTACTCTAATATACCTTATAAGGGGAGCACACGATTTTCTTGAACATTACATAAATCTAAATAACGTAGAATATAAAAAGTTAGACATATTTAAAGTTTTTTTTGTTCAAGTCGAAAAAAATAACTTGAAAATTTTAATCAGTTTAAATTGCCAATTTTATTGAATCACGAGTGCGACGAACGCTTGTCGAATCGGTAACACTAGTGTCTTTCAATTAGGCTTATCTTAACGGTATAATTACAATACTAATAGAAATTAGTGAAATTAGTTTCGATTAATCAAATTTAGTTTTTTATGTTCTTAATAATAGTAATATTTAATATTCTTATTTATATATTGTTATAATATTAATTCTCATTAATATTTATGTTCNTATATTGTTATAATATTAATTCTTATTAATATGTATGTTCTTATTAATAATTAGAATTAATTTAGTAATTTTATTTCCCTATGATAGTTAAATGTTAAGATTTAGTCTAATCGTTACCGTAGAATTTATCCAAATTCTATATGTGTGTGTACTAGGGAAATTTATACGATTTTCCGAGTGTAGTCGCGTAAAAGCGTTGACTAATGTTAAGGAGTATAAAAATCGATATTTATGAAATATTATATACTTTTATTTTGTGAAAGTCTATTTTTGATTCCGATTAAAGTTTTTGTAGTCCAGTGTATTTGGTCATAAGTAACGAAAAATTTTTTTTAAGAAGTATTACATCAAGCCCTTTAAATTTTTAAGTAAAGAATTTAAAGTAAAGTAAAGTAAAGGAATATATTCAAAATAAATATATATTAAATATACGTTAAATGTATATTTATTCATATGTTATACTTTTATATCATAAATCCGCTAATCAGGATATAATTAAGGAAATAGGAGTTGATGTTGTTTTTGTAATTATCCACCGACTTCTTAAAATTAAACACTATCTACAGATTTGCATCGAAGCGTTTCTTATGATGATGATTTTAATCATTGTCGAATACCGTCTATACTGGTCCCGACTATGCTACGTTCATACTGTGCCGCGACTCCACCGTGATATCGGATTTTTTTATACTGTTATATTAATATATATAAATTAGTATATTAGTAGTATAGCAAAGTCGATTAAAAAAATATATCTCAGCGTTAAATAGAACGCTAATGATTTTTTATTTTTAAAACGATTGAATGGGACAGCTCGAGGACGATAATATTTACTCGTATTAAATCATAAATAAAATAATCAATTGTTGTAGTGTGAAAAAAAAGAAATGTGATGGAATGGTAAATTTTTATTTTCAATAAAATATAAAAATATATACTTAGTTAATCAACAGTCGTTAACCGTATGGTTTTATGATATTAACACACGAGTTATCAAACTTTTATTTGCTAGAACATATTTTTTCGTGCATTAAATTCGTTCTGAACGTTACGATCGTTTCTTTTATAATAATTTTGCAATATAATTTTTTCTTCATCATTAGGTTCTTTGCGGAAATACTCACGACGTTTCTCCACATCTTCTTTGATAGTATAATTAAAACCATCGTTTTGTAACGTGTTAAATAAATCTAATACATCTTCAGAAGGATACGAGTCTTTAATTTTTTTAATGTCTATCAACATTTCTTTATCGGCATATTGCCAAGGTGGAAGAAAATAATAACGCGAAATGATTATTTCGTCAGTAATCGATTTATCCATAACGGCGGCCTTTAAACTTGCGAGTTCTTTTTTGTATGTTCCTAAACATTTTAATTTTAATAAAATTATTTATACATTGTTTGTTTCTATTTCACGTGCGTGACAATTCGGATTTTATTTTAAAAGCACCAAATATTTTCCTAAAACTATGGCGAATTTTTTTTGTAGTAATATCGAATTCACGACTTTTTGGACAATAAGACTGTTTAATGTCAAACGTGTGTACGTAACGTATACAAGTTCTAAGCAATAAGCTCGAAAAGGCCATAATTAAAAAAAAAAGTTAAACTTGGTATCTTTATAGAAATGGTATTTATATTAAATGGATATATTATATTTTTTTAAACGGCATCGCGTTAATAATTTAATTATAGAAAAGCATTTCTCGCCCTTAAAATTCGATTTAAATTGAGTTATTCATTACGAAATATACGTTGATTACCATTCTTTTAATTTTTTTTTAGTTAAATTAAAGTGTTTTTTTTTACTTTTAATTATGGAAACGGTAATCTTTATCAAAGTTCTTAAAAATTGACCGGTTTTTTTGCTTTTTAAATATCCTGTACGATAAAATTGATATTATTATTATTCATATTTACCTGTGTCCGACACCTTGATAATAGAAGATCTGCATACGGGACAAATAGAATTGTATGAAACTAAAATATTAATTACGCATCCATTGCAAATTTTGTCCATACAAGGGTAAACTGTGGCAGATTCCGAAAAAAAGCATATAGAACACGTCTCGTCATTTTCTGTGAAACAAATACAGGCAAAATATATTTTATAACAATTGAAAATAGATGAATGAATGAAGTACACGAACATGCAATTTATAAATTGCACTACTTCTACAGAAGTAGTAGTGATTAAATATTTAGACTGCGAACATTAAAAGAATATTTCGAATTCCAGTTCGTCTATTACACGATTGTACTATCTACAATACTATTAGCTATAACCTACGACGTAATCTCTGTATTACACTTTATCAATGCCGGCACTAAGTCTTGCGGACCCTCCGCGCTAGGAGCGAGGGGTTAAGGCGGGATGAATTTAAATTTCCGTTTAATTTCATTGACCATATGATATTTATCATAAAATACATTTTATCGAGTTGTAGTGACTTTTTTATTACGCGTAAAAGTGTGTTCGAAATTATATAACACGTTTAATATTACCAATTGGTAACCTCTAGTATCTGATTATACGATTAATAATTTTATAAAATATTTTTTCAACATTTCATTACCATTACCGATGTCAAATGAAAACAAAGTTTATGGTCTATGAGTAGTAGCTATAATCGCATAACGCAGACGCCACCGCTAAGTCGTGTTGAAAATTATAAAAAAAAAATAATAAATTTCAATTATTTATTTTGATTTAATTATTTATTGTATACCACCTCGTATACAATATTGGATATTGTATAACTACAGCTCAATTTAAATTATTCCTGTATTTTTGTAAATATTAGATTCGAGATATTTACCGTATACATTAATCAAGTCTATTTAATTAGTAATTAGAATCTATTCTAATCAATAACAATAGATTTTTTATATTATAATTAATTTAGGAACCAACATTTTTTTTTTCATTTCAATAATAATTTTTGAACAATTTATAAACATTTCATATTTTATGATTACATCAATATACATAAATCAAATAATGTCGAGATCGACGTACCCATAGAAAATACGTCTGATAAAGCTAATAAAATCATTAAACCCTGTTTGAGCATCATCTGAAAAACGTAATAACAGTTAGAATAATTTTTCACATAATTATTTTTTATTAAATTTTTGCATATATTTCCTAAATTGTCGTTTCCGAGATAATCGGTATCGAAAAATCGAATGGATACGCGGAGGACATTTATAAAATCCATACGAGTCGTCGCGGTTATAATTCGTAGAAATGCGGTTACAAATTAACGGATTTCCGGGTCGCGTTGTTAAATTTTCATCGTTGTTAAGCGTTGTTTTTTTGTAACGAGACATCTCATAATTACTAGTGCTGGGAAATATCGAATAATAACTATCAAACTATTCTATAGTCATTCAAAAACTATTTGAATAGTAAAAATATTCGATAATTCACAATATATTCGAATAGTTTTTAAAATATTTGATAGTTTATGCTAAAAATAAAATATTCGGTTGTATAAAAACAGTTCCAATAATTAATCAATAGTTTAAAATATTTGAAAATGCTCATCACTAATTTTTTTTATTATTAATTGTATCCTATTTATAATCTTAGTACCCTGAATAAACAGTTTTAAAAATATCCTATTTAGATCGTTAGTGTTATTAAAACAGCAAAACTATAAATACAAAAGAGCAGGTAATACTAGACTAAGAACAGTATACAAGGTATTAAGTGTAAAATAAGACTTCAGTATTTACGAATACTTCTGTTGCGCATAGAAAAAACCTTTCCGATAAAACTGAAAATATATCATTAGTCATCGGAAAAAAGAACTGATTTTTAATTTTCAACCCATATTTATCAGTTTTTACCAACGACTCACAAACTAAAAATAAATAAAATGGTACTTTTTACTGTTATTAATTGTATAATAATTTATTTTAAGTATTCGTTAATTATCTTCNTGTATAATAATTTATTTTAAGTATTCGTTATTTATCTTATTATTATAATTAATTGTACTTAATAAAAATTTTAATTAGAACTAATCGAAGATTTTTTGAAACCATTCGCTAGCCCATTCGAATATATTTTAAAAACTATTCGATAGTTTAAAATATTCGAAAATGCCCATCACTAATAATTACCGTCACCGTTACAACAATCGTAATGTTCGAAGCTATAGAAATATTTACGATTTCTATTATTAAATAGGGTTTACCCGATACTTGCCTTTATCTAATACTTACCGGAAGAAGCAATCTTTTTAACGCTGATCGATAGTCTTAAAAACTTGAGTTTTTCCCTCGTTCGCGATTGAACTAGAGAACACGTTAACAGATTTATATAGCGCCACGTTGTGCGTCGTGATGTTTGAACAGTTTTTTCAATAGATGAGATAATTTTTATTCTAATTTTCAGCGTACCACATTTTTAACACGTTTTGAAAGAATGGAATCCAAAGTACGACAATAGAACTCACAAAAAACTATACTAATGTGACGCTTAAATTATAAGTGAAATATTATTCAATGAGATGTTTAAAACTTATTGCACGGGAAATGATGATTTTATTTTTAAAATATACACAATACTTAACTCACGCACATTAATTAAACTGATATTTTTTTTATATACTGTAATTCCAATTGAATAGTTGAAAATGTGATTTTACCGTAGCATTCTATTGCATAGAATACGTGGGATTGTGCTTTTTTTTTTTAATCAATTTTAACCGTGTTTAGAGATATGAAATAAAACAAAAATTGTCTTTATTACCGTCATTTTTTTTTCGACTTGACTTGATTTGTTAAGTTTTTTTCACGTTTATAGCGATTGTCAATCCCTTTTAGTCGATATTATCGATTTTTAAAGTGACGCAATAGACGCAATGTTTTATTTGGAACTTTTCAGAGGGGCTAATAAATAATCTAGCGAAGTAAAAAAGCCCGGGGGAAAACGCTACTCAGAAAAACTACCATCATCACGATTTCTTCTTTAACGGCTTGTTGAACGTTGTCGGTGAAAATCAAAAAATAATTTTCATTTGGTAGAATAAAATGATTTTTAAAAATGAAAACATAATAATAAATTTATCGTATAAAACGAATGTTATTCTGCGTTTAATTTATTTATCTTAATGTAATTTTTTTTTTTGATTTCTTGATTAAAAAAATGAAAAAAATTTTACTTAAATAGATTTTAAATATTTCGTATCCAGCGATTTTTACGCGTCGTTTGATTTGGAATATTTTATTTATAAAAAATAAATCAATACACACACACGTGTATATTACTAGGAAAAATAATATACGCGCATGCAGAGGAAGTTGTATGGTAATGGTTGCTAGAATTCTGGCGGCATTATATATTTATAGAGAGAGACATATGTATATATAAAC